TGATGTGGTACAGGAGGACGTGGAGCTGAGTGGACTTGCCGATGACTGGTACCAGCGGTGTCAAGATCGACCTCTGTGGAGGAGGCTCGTGAAGGATGCTACTGGGCAGTTGGAGGTATTCGCCCTCCAACAACAACGGAGGGCGGAGGAGCGACGCTCACAACAACGAGCGGAGTGCCGGGTGGCTAAAGCACAGCAGGTTGGCACAGTAGGGGGCACCGGTGGTGCATCAGCCAGCCATCTCAGTCATTACAGTCAGTCGACCCGTGGCACCTGGGTCTGCCCCGTGACCTCCTGCCAGCGGGCGTTCGACACTTCACGTGGCCTCAGGGTGCACATGGCCTGGCACAAGCGTCGTGGGGACGTCACCGCCACTTAGTGGTGAATGGCGATTGTTGTTGTGTCTGTGTGTGTGTCTGTGTGTGTCTGTGTGTATCCGGCAAAACAACCCCCTACCTCCTCGCGGTGCCGGATGGGCAACTCTGTCGTGGACAGTGCTGTGGGGGGAGATCCAATTTTGATTGGCTCCTCCCCTCATGGCATATGTGTCCACCACAGGGGCTAAACGGGGGCTCTGGACGGGTGCGAGGGGCTGGTAACCCCTCCACCTTCAATTAATTACCACGAAACCACGAGTTAAACTGAAATATATAACTAATAAGCTTGTGCCTGAGGCCCCGGGGGGCCAGGCATCTATGACGTCTCCTGGCCAAACCCCAATTGATGGAGCCAGGAGATTGAATACCTACCCTCGGGGCTACTCCAGAAACAACGAAAAGCTACTACGGGTGGCCACTTGGAATGTTCGAACGCTCACTGCGGAGGAGAGGCTGCCACTCCTCTGTCGGGAGCTGGACCGGTACCGCCTGGATCTATGCGGCATTCAGGAGGTCTGGTGGACCGGCTCTGGCTCCTGCCACCATGAGGGGTGGACAGTCCTCTACTCGGGGCAGCAGACTGCCAAACAACTGGGTGTGGCTCTTCTTTTGAACAAAAGAATGAAGGGGGCGTGGGAGCGTGGCGGTGAGGTGTGGGAAGCTGTAAGCCCCAGGCTACTTTGGGCTCGCCTTCCCATCAACCGGAGGCGAGGAATGGTGGTCGTGGTTACTTATGCCCCCACCGAAGATGAACATCCGTGGAGGGATGCAGGCAAAGCCGATGAGTCAGATGCCTTCTATGACCTCCTGTCACAGGTGCTGGCTAAAGTGGCCCCTCGGCATAGAGTCATCATGTTGGGTGACTTCAATGCCCGAGTTGGTCATGATACTGGCACCTGGTCTGGAGTGATTGGAGGGCATGGGCCAGATCAGCTCAATAACAACGGTAGGAGGCTGCTAGATTTTTGTGCAGCCCATGCGCTTGTAATTACCAACACGCTGTTCCGGCATCGGCGCATCCACACAACATCATGGATGCATGCCGGGTCCAAGCAAGAACATCTGCTGGACTACATAGTGACGGACCAGCGGATGCGAGCCCATGTCCTTGACACCAGGACCTACCGTGGAGCTGATCTGCCCTCTGACCATCGACTAGTCATCTGTAAGATGCGCCTGCCATTCTTCCACTCCGGTGGTGGGTGTACACCCAGGACCCCATTCCGACCTAAAGTGGCCTGGTCTCAATTATCTGATGAAAGTTGCAAGCGAGAATTTCATCATCGCTTGCGGCTGGGATTGGCATCGTCCGCGACTCCTCCTGATGTCGAGGGTAAATGGGCGAGGATTAGGACTGTGACTCATGCAGCTGCAATTGCTGCTTTAGGTACGCGGTCCAGACCTCCCCAGAGACCCTGGCTGACAGAGGAGGTGTTCAGGATGGTTGAGAATAAGCGACAGCCCCACTGTCATTGGCTAAAGAATCCCACGTCAGAGAATGAAGAGGCTTACCGCAGCCTTCGCTTGGAGGCGCTGCAAGGTTGGGTGGTGGTCGCGGGTTGCTGAGGAGATGGAGTCGGCCTCAGTGGCCCGCGATCACAATTCTCTATTTAACTCCATCAAAAAAGTAACCTGCAGCGCCACACCTACTACCATCAATAGGGGAAAAAACGGTGATCCAATCTCCGACCCCCAGGAACAGGTTTGCAGATTTGCTGAGCATTTCTGTGAGGTCCTGGGGGAGGGAAAATCCCTCAGCCAGGAAAATATCGTGGCACAAAGTGAGGATGACCCTGCTGAGGCTGTGGTGCCTCAAATATTGGAAGAAGTCACCCCCTGTGAGTGGCTGGCTGAGGTGCCATCTGTTGAGGAAGTACTGAAGGCAATCCGGAGTCTGAGACCAGGAAAGGCAGTGGGCAGAGATGATCTCCCAAGCGAAATGCTGAGGGAGGGTGGCGTTTGTGCACAGACTGCCCGATATGACATCATAACAACAGTCTGGATCACTGGACAGGTTCCGCAGATTGGAAGGATGCCCTGGTGGTCCCCCTTTTTAAGAAGGGGGACCGCACAGACTGTAACAACTACAGGGGCATCTCACTCCTCAGTGTGCCGGGAAAGGTCCTGGCAAGGATTATTCAGCATCCCCTTTCCAGGCACGCTGAGGAGAGGCTTGCGGAGCCCCAATGCGGTTTCAGGAAAGGGCGGTCCTGCACAGATGCCATATTTTCTGTCCGTCTGCTACAGCAGAGGTGTTGGGAATTCCAACAAGACCTACATCTCTGCTTTATTGACCTGGTTAAGGCCTATGATACCATCAGTAGGCCTGGGCTCTGGGTCGTTCTTCGTGCTTTTGGAGTACCTGACCCTCTGCTCAAGATCATTAAGGACCTTCATGATGGTGAGCGGGCCCGGGTAAAACTACGTGGCCGGGAGTCAGAGCCATTCCCTGTACACCTTGGGGTACGACAGGGATGTCTTCTGGCTCCCACATTATTTAACATCTATTTTGACCACGTAGTTCGTGAAGCCTTCAATAGCTGTACCGGGGGAATCTCCATATGGTACAGATATAATGGGAGGCTGATCGATACCCGGGTGCGGTCAAGGGATGGCTCCCTATTGCTCAACCACGTTATGTATGCTGATGATTTGGTAATAGCTGCTCAGTCAGAGGAGGAGTTGGAGATGCTGCTGCTGAGACTGGAGCATGCCACTAAGAGGTGGGGCCTTACCATCAGCCCCACCAAAACTAAGCACCTGCCTGGGTATTTTGTACCAACGGACACTCCACCCCCACAACTCCCAATCGGAGATGGGGCAGTTGTGGAGAGAGTGGAGAGTTTCCCATACCTGGGCAGTGTGCTTATGACCGGCTCCAGTTTAACAGCAGAGGTCTCACTCCGAATCAGTCGAGCGGCAATATCTTTCATCGGTTGCCTAACGCTGTGTGGAAGCTACCTGGTCTGTCGCTCTGCACTAAGCTTCAGGTCTTCTCGGCCACGGTCATTTCCTCCCTTCTCTACGCTTGCTAAACGTGGACCCCCCTAATGGAACATCCTCGCCGGTTAGAAACATTTAGGCTGGCCTGCCTACGATCCATCCTGGGTTTAACCAGACTGGATTGTGTGAGGAGCTCACAAATCCTTGAAAGATCTGGGCAAGGTCCCATCGGTGAGCTCCTCCGGCGGGCAAGGCTGCGATGGCTGGGTCATGTAGCCCGCATGCCCAGCCACCGCATGCCGAAACAGTTTTTGTTCGGCCGGATTGAGGGGGCTAAGCAGGCGCGGCACGGGCTAGAGAAGAGATGGAGTGATGTGGTACAGGAGGACGTGGAGCTGAGTGGACTTGCCGATGACTGGTACCAGCGATGTCAAGATCGGCCTCTGTGGAGGAGGCTCGTAAAGGATGCTACTGGGCAGTTGGAGGTAGTCGCCCTCCAACAACAATGGAGGGCGGAGGAGCGACGCTCAGAACGAGCGGAACGCCGGGTGGTAAAGCACAGCAGGTTGGCACAGTAGGGGGCACAGGTGGTGCATCAGCCAGTCATCTCAGTCAGTCGACCCGTGGCACCTGGGTCTGCCCCGTGACCTCCTGCCAGCGGGCGTTCGACACTTCACGTGGCCTCAAGGTGCACATGGCCTGGCACAAGCGTCGTGGTGACGTCACCGCCACTTAGTGGCGAATGGCGGTTGTTGTTGTTGCTGTGTGTATCTGTGTGTGTGTCTGTGTGTGTCTCTGTGTGTGTGGGGAGCGGTAGTGTAGCGGTTAGCGCTACGCTGCGCTATGAACCTGGCGACCCGGGTTCGATTCCCCCCTCACGGCCAACACCAGTGACGATTATCTGAACCGGTCCCGGGCCTCCCCTAGGTCGACTCAGCCTCAAATGAGTACCTGGTGCGGTGTGTGAACATCGCCACTGGGGAGACAAAGGCGGCCGGGCGTGGTGAATCCATGTCCCGGGTAGTTAAGCTATTTACAAATTACTCACCACCCCCCCACACCCCCCTCGACTCCCACCCCCCACATCGGACCCCCCCCCCCCCCACAACGTCGCCTTCACCGCAGCAACAGAAATAAAAACACGTGGAGAAAAATGATAGACGGAAGGGAAGAAAAAGACAAGGAAAAAAAATATTGGGGAAATAAGGAAAAAAAATAATAGAAAGAAAGAAAGGGAAGGAAGAAAAATTAAATTAAAATTTTACGGAAAAGAGGAAGGACAATTTTAAGAAAAGAAAAAAGATAAAAGAAGTCTAACGAAATAAAAATATTTAATGAAAAGGAAATAAAAAAGTACTAAAAGAAAAGAACGAAAAAAAAACTTTAAACATTAAAAGGAAAGAAATAAGAAAGAAAAAGAAAAAAATTAACGAAGTCAAAATATATTCTTGGTTCTTTCTACGTGGTGACTTTACCGAAATAACCAAGAATATGAATCCCTGCAGTCACGAAAGCTTTAAATCAAAATTCAAAATTTGAAGTCAAAATATAAAAGTGAAACGGAAAGAGAAAATAAAGAACAGAAATAAAAAAATAATCTAACAAAGTAAAAATATTTAAGTGAAAAGGAGGAAAGAAAAGAAATAACAGGAATAACAAGAGAAATCTAACGAAGAAAAAATGAATTTTAAAATAAATAAATGAAGAGAAAACCTCACACCTGTTCTGACGTCAGCGGTGGGTGGCACGCGCCGGTGGCCCACGCGCGTCGGTTGACCACGTGGGCCACGCGCGTCGGTTGACCACGTGGGCCACGCGCGTCGGTGGCTATAAAACTGCGAGAGGTTCCAGCGAGAGAGGAGGGAGGAGGATTGGAGACTGACGTCGATTCTCTGTCAAGAGTTGAGCCCCTTGTGGTGAGTGGTGAGCGAGTGGTGAGTGGTGTGAGTGGTGAGTGTGCGAGATGATTGTGAGGTGTGAGTGGTGAGTTATGAGAGGTGAGTGGTGAGCGAGTGGTGAGCGAGAGTGGTGAGTGGTGTGAGTGGTGAGTGTTGAGTATTGTGCGAGATGATTGTGAGTGGTGAGTGGTGTGAGTGGTGTGAGTGGTGAGCGAGAGTGGTGAGTGGTGTGTGGTGTGAGTGGTGAGTGGTGTGCGAAATGATTATGAGGTGTGAGTGGTGAGTGGTGTGAGTGGTGAGCGAGAGTGGTGAGAGTGGTGTGAGTGGTGAGTGTTGAGTGGTGTGCGAGATGATTGTGAGTCGTGAGAGGTGAGTGGTGAGTGGTGTGAGTGGTATCAATCAAAATCAAATTAAAATCTTTATCCTGGAGAAATCTGATCAGCTACGAAGCTCTTTTTCACAGATGTCCAGTCTCTGTGTGTGTCCTGGGTCTCTGCGTGAGTCTATGGGTCTCTGCATGAGTCTATGAGTCTCTGTGCGAGTCTACGGGTCTCTGTGTTAGCCTATGGGTCTCGACAAGAGTCTATGGGTCTCTGTGTGATGAGTCTATGGGTCTGTGTGTGATGAGTCTATGGGTCTTTGTGTGAGTCTAACGCCAGCCAGTGGAATGAGACTCTCAGGGCAGACCTTTCAGTTGGCTGTGAGTCGACTCTGCAGCAGCTGCGGGATCTGGCAGAGGGGAGAGAACGCGTTGGCGATAAGGTGCGGTGGTAGTGGTGGTGGTGGTGGAGATGGTGGTGGTGATGGTGGTGGTGTCATCAAAAGCTGTGGCCACGATGACAACTCGATCCGGGGCTTGGTGCCGGGTTATTGGGCTTACTCAGATTTATTTCATTAAGCAAATTACTTCCATCACCCCAGAGTTTTTGTTGGAACCGCCTAACACCGCCTAACACACCCTCATTATTCTTCGTCCAGACACACATCATGAGTGGTGAGTGTGCATTGTGAGTGTGAGCGAGTGAGTAGTGAGTGTGTGGTGAGTGTGCGAGGTGAGTGATGAGAGGTGACATGATTGTGAGTGGTGAGAGGTGAGTGTGCGTGGTCAGTTGTGAGTGGTGAAAGTTGTGAGTAGTTAGTGGTGAGTTGTGAGTGGTGAGTGTGAAAGGTGAGTGGTGAGTAGTGAGTGGTGAATAGTGAGTTCTGAGTGGTGAGTTGTGAGAGGTGAGTGGTGATTGTGAGTTGTGAGTGGTGAGTTGTGAGTGGTGAGTTGTGAGTGGTGAGTTCTGAGTGGTGAGTTCTGAGTGGTGAGTTGTGAGAGGTGAGTTGTGAGTGGTGAGTTGTGAGTGGTGAGTGTGCATTTTGAGTGTGAGTAGTGAGTGGTGAGTTCTGAGTGGTGAGTTCTGAGTGGTGAGAGGTGAGTGGTTTGAGAGGTGAGTTGTAAGTGGTGTCAGTTGTGAGTAGTGAGTGGTGAGTTGTGAGTGATGAGTTGTGAGTGATTGTGAGAGGTGTGAATTGTGAGTGGTGAGTTTGAGTGGTGAGTTGTGAGAGGTGAGTGATGAGTTGTGAGAGGTGAGTTGTGAGAGGTGAGTGTGAATTGTGAGTGGTGGGATAGGTGAGTTTTGAGTTGTAAGTGGTGAGTTGTAAGTGATGAGTTGTGAGTGGTGAGTGTGAGAAGTGAGTTCTGAGTGGTGAGTTCTGAGTGGTGTATGTTGAGTTGTGAGTGTTGAGTGGTGAGTGATTATCGCCAAAGTAAATGCTCGAATTATTGTTGTTTTCTTGATATAAACGAATTACATATAAGTCCATGCTCACAACGGCGTCACGATTTGCACCGCTGTGCCTTTGCTGTTCACATCGTTGCAGCCTTGCAGCCTCTGGGTGTCTTAGAGGGCCGCATGAAGCTCTAAGTGCGGTGCCTGATGCATTTGTTGCTATAAAGGGGCCTTAAATTCAAATAAAAATCACACTTAAATATTAAAACACAAATTGTTTAACTTGTAGAGTGAAGTAATTGTATTTTTCCATTTGCTCTACAGCCAGATAATGCGACAAATCGCGAACCTTAAACACCCCCAGTAGTTCGTAAAAGTTGAAGGCGGTGTAGTACTATAGTAATAGAGCAAGTGCAGAATCACGGAACTGGAATTGATAAGCTTGAAAGCATTTAGCACGGGGGCCTTGCTACCAGTAGCTACATAAGTAGTACTACATTTGATGTACACCTGTCATACATTTATTGACAGACTGGGCATATTTGATTTGGAATATTCCAACTGTTTATAACCCCCCCCCCCCCCCCTGTGGTGAGACGCTCCGTTGGTTGAACCAACGTCACTTCCGGTCCGAGACTAAACGGGAAGTGACGAGGAGCCGGGCGGGGAGCGCGTGGACAGGCGAAGATGTAACTTTAGAAATCGCTCGTTTTTGTGCAACTAAGAAATAAAGAACCAGTTTGATTTAAGACACCTCAAACACGCGGCAGCCTTATTGCTCCAAGTTAAGGCGGAGCTTATTTTTTGGTATAAGAAAGCAGCGCCTACAGTAGTAGCTACATAAGTAAATGTAGCTACATAAGTAGTAGCTACACCCCACCTACCACCCACCCGACCCACCCCACCCATCAGTGACTCCGCACTGAACTTTGCATCTCCACCGCTGCCCTCAACTACCGTTGCCTAATACCCGCTCATCCATCTGTCCCTTATCATCACCCCCAATCTCCCGTCTCCCCGAAGCCAACCTCCTGCCTCAACGTGCCCACCTGCTCGACCTCGTTTGCACCCGCTTCCCCCCTTAATTACCGGCGGTTTGTCGGTGCAAACCTCGTGTTGCAACGCGGACACACCTGTTCGTCCTCAGTTGCACCCGCTTAACTGCGTGCATCGCGTACATCTCTCCTCTACACCAGTAACGAATTGGCCACGTTCTGTTTGCGTGACAAAACCTTACCGGTTGGCTGTGGCACGTGCTGGCGGGTTTTAACGACGGATTTATACATTCACGTGGCGATTTAACCCAAAACAAACCCCTCTATCATGGATGACGTTGGTCGCAAAAGCCGTCCTGCGGGTTAAACGGAGCTGTAATTCTCGTGGACGAGGGCTTCTCTCGACCTCAAAACAGCGATGCTCGCCAATGCTCAAACCTTTCCGTCGTCAAAGCTTGAATTCCTTTTTCGACGCCAGATATTTTACCGGTCGATAATTATCCGACCCAACGTCTACTTCATTTTTTGGCAATAACGACGTCCGCTAATGCGAATCTGTCAAAAACATCGCCGAGATCGAAGCGGAACTTGCGGGTGACCGTCGCGTCGTTCGCGCGTGCGTCTTGCGACGAGCAGGTCGAGAGAGGAGAGAATGCCGTACCCACTGGCCATACACACGTGCGGAGGACAAGGCGGCACCGACTTCACCTTCGACGGCAGGAGCAACGGGGCGACGCTTGAGAAGATCTGGGTGTGGGTTGGCGGGTGGCAGGTGAAGTGCGTGAAGGCCTGGCTGACCAACGGAACGTCCGCGCAGTACGGCAGCCCGTTAGGATCTCACAGCGAGTTCGTCTTCCAGCCCGGCGAGCTCTTCTCGTCGCTGTCGCTGTGGGGCAACGGCGCCGGCACGCGCCTGGGCGCCATCAAGTTCAAGACCAGCAAGGGGCGGGAATTCTTCGTGAAGATGACCGACTGGGGGCTGAAGACGGAGTACCCCATCGACATCGGCTCGGGGATCTGCCTCGGCATTGTGGGCAAGGGCGGCTCGGACATCGACTGCATGGGCTTCGTGTTCATCAATTCGGTAAAGCGGTCCGAGTTGATCAACGTGACGTACCCGACGCTGCACCGGGAGCTCCCGAAGGTCCAGATGGAGGAGATCAAGTCCATCAGCTACAAGAACCGGGGCTCCGTCCCGCAGACCTACAAGGTGGAGACCTCCAAGACGGTGACCAAGACCTCGTCGTGGTCGATCGCGAACAAGCTCGAGGCGACCGTCAGCATCAGCGTCACGGCCGGCATCCCCGACGTCGTCGAGGTGTCGAGCGGCTTCAGCTTCACGGTGGGCACCGAGAGCACCCGCGGCGTCGAGAACTCCGAGTCGAAGACCGAGCTCCTCTCGTTCGACGTCACCGTGCCCCCGGGCAAGACGGTGGCCATCGACGTCAACATCGGCCGCGCGGAAATCGACCTCCCCTACAAGGGCACGGTGCGCATGACCCTGTTGAACGGCGCCACCTTCGACATCCCCATGGAGGGCGTCTACAAGGGCCTCGCGTACACCAAGGCGACGGCCGAGACGCGGGAGAAGTGACGAGGGCCGGCGCCCGCCCCCCTCCCCGCGAGGGCCTCCGCGCTTCTTCCGAGCTTCGCCAGCGGCGCCGCCGCCGCCGCATGCCGCCGCCTACCTGTTCCCTGCGGAGGCCGAGCGTCGCAACAAAACGGTGCTGAGGGAGGGAGGGGAGTTTGTTCGATGGGCTGCTGGAGGAGGAGCCGAGGAAAATTCCCCCGTGGCAAAAAAGCGAAAATGAAGAGAAAGAAGAAAAGCGACGACGCACGTTGACGACGACGTTCGACCGAAATCGGACAGCGACGACCACCACCACCACCGCCACCGCCCCCACCACCACCGGCAGGTCACGTGTGTGCGCGAGTGTGCACGTGTGTGCGAGTGTGCGTGTGCGAGTGCATGTGTGCGCGTGTGTGCGAGTGTGCGTGTGCGCACGAGTGTGCGCGTGCGAGTGTGCGAGTGTGTGTGTGCGCGAGTGTGCGGGTGCGAGTGTGCGTGCGAGTGTGTGCATGGACTTGCCTTCAACTTCACACCGCGAAGCGCAAATCAGGAGGTGGTGGCCTCGAATTGGCGACAGCTCCTACAACGTTGACGTCCAACCACCCCCCCCCCCCCCCCCCTTATCGTGTCCGCCGCCACCAATTCACGTCACGAGTCGCGTGCTCTTTGAATCGTGGGAAAGTGCATGCAAGCGGAAAGGGAGTCGCGCGCGCGTTTGACTGCGCATGAGTCGGTGCTACGGGATGGCTGTGCAGGGTGAAAAATAAAATAAAACGTCTTCGAAAAAGAACGCCGGAACCGCGGTCGCGTGCTCAGCCGTCGCCGGCGACGTCAACACGCGGAGCGAGAGGTCGCCACGCTCTGGGGGGGAAGTGCGGCATCGTCCGAAGAAACCCCCCAAAAAAAACCACCACCACCCGGGTTCGAGTCCGGACGCGGTTAGGCCGGGACTCTCGGCCGTGGCGAGTTGGTGGCCATGGGAATAAAAAAAAAATTATAGAAATTTTAATAAAAATGTATAAAAAAATATATTTTTAAAAACCTGGTTAGCTGTGGCGGAGAACTCACGTGGCGCCGCTGACGTCCCGGGTTTTGCATTTTTTTCTTTATTAGATTTTCAATCGCACGTGATTAAGATGGAATCCTCGATTCTCCGTGTCTCTCCCGAGTCATCGACACCGTCGCTTTGAAGGGCAAAATGCGGGCTCAGAAGTCACACTTACGACGAACCGCTTGCACAGCGCGCGTGCTTGACGTACGTTGATGACCGTACGAGGAACCCACGCGGAAATGGATACTCACGGTCATTTATTGGCATTAATCCCCTCCCAACTCACCTAAAGAAGCGCTCACAAGTGGTGCCATCACGTCTATCCCCTCTTATTCATTCAACAAAGCAGAAGGATTTCTCCACAAATCCGCAGCTGTCGCCTGATGGAGCCGGTCGTTATTACCGGCGAAACGTCACGGTGATCGGATTGTAAAAGTCGTGGCTTTGCTCTCAAACATACAACCGGTGTGCTGTACTAGTGTACTACACTACACACTACACTACCATACACTACATTACCCTACACTATACTACTATACACTACACTATACCATACACTATACCACTACTATACACCAATATACACTATACACTACACTACTATACACTATACTACTGTACACTAAACTATACACTACTTTCCACCAATATACACTACACTATAAACTAGTGTATACTACACTATACACCACTATACACTCTTATACACTATACCCTACACTATACCATAAACTAGTATACACTACTCTACATGACACTATACACTATGATACACTACACTATACACTACCCTATAAACTAAACTACACACTACACTATAAACTATACACTACACACGACTTCTTGTTCTTGGGTAGTAATTGTTACTTTGTAATTGCTTATGCCTCAAAAGTATAGACAATGGCTATTACTAAACACAAACTTTGCTGGTGTGCTGTACTAGTATACTACACTATACACTACAATACCATATGCTACACTATACACTACATTACTATACACTACACTATACACTACATTACTATACACTACTATACACTACACTTCTACACACTACGCTACGATACACTACACTATACACTACGATACACTACACTATACACTACACTATAAACTACACACTAGTGCTGTACTAGTCACAAACTGGCTGAGCTCCATTCCCGTGACACCAAACCTTACCGATTGGCTGTGTGGTGTGCGGTGGGCGGGGCTCTAACGACGTCGACGCGTTCACGCGACCTGAACTTGATCTTAGCGTGACGACAAGAGAGCGACGACAGTGGTGGTGCTGGTGTAGTGGTGGTGGTGTAGTGGTGGTGGTGCTGGTGTAGTGGTGGTGGTGGTGGTGTAGTGGTGGTGGTGGTACGGACGTCGAGATTCGTCCCGAGGGATTTGCCGGTCGGCGAGCGTTGGCCGTGAGAACGCGTGTGAGTAGCAAGACTGTGTGTTTGTGTGTCTGTATGTTTGTGTGACGGTGGGTGTGTGTGTGTATGTTTTTGTGACTGTGTGCGTGAATATGTATGTATGACCGTCCCGTGATCACAAAATCCTATTTAATTCCATCAAAAAAGTAACCTGCAGCGCCACACCTATTACCATCAATAGGGGAAAAAACGGTGATCCAATCTCCGACTCCCAGGAACAGGTTTGCAGATTTTCTGAGCATTTCTGTGAAGTCCTGGGGGAGGGAAAATCCCTCAGCCAAGAAAACATCGTGGCACAAAGTGAGGATGACCCTGCTGAGGCTGCAGTGCCTCAAATACTGGAAGAGGAAGTCACCCCCTGTAAGTGGCTGTCTGAGGTGCCATCTGTTGAGAAAGTACTGAAAGATATCCAGAGTCTGAGACCAGGAAAGACAGGGGTCAGAGATGATCTCCCAAGCGAAATGCTGAGAGAGGGTGACGTTTGTGCACAGAATACCCTACATGAAATCATCACAACAGTCTGGACCACTGGACGGGTTCCGCAGGACTGGAAGGATGCCCTGGTGGTTCCCATCTTTAAGAAGGGAGACCGCACAGACTGTAACTACAGGGGTATCTTACTCCTCAGTGTGCCGGGAAAGGTCCTGGCAAGCTGAGGAGAGGCTTGTGGAGCCCCAATGCGATTTCAGGAAAGGGCGGTCCTGCACACAAGCCATATTTTCTGTCCATTTGCTACAGCAGAGGTGTAGGGAATTATAACAAGACCTACATCTCTGCTTTATTGACCTAGTCAAGGCCTATGATACCATCAGTAGGTCTGGGCTCTGGGTTGTTCTTCGTGCTTTCGGAGTCCCTGACCCTCTGCTCACGATCATTAAGGACCTGTGTGTCTATGTGTGTCTGTGTGTGTGTCTTTGTGTGTGCGCGTCTTTGTGTGTGCGTCGTTGTGTGTGTGTGTCTTTGGGGGGAGCGGTAGTGTAGCGGTTAGCGCTCTGCGCTATGAACCCGGCGATACGGGTTTGATTCCTGCTCACGGCCAACACCGGTGACAATTATCTGAACCGGTCCCGGGCCTCCCCTAGGTCGACTCAGCCTCAAATGAGTACCTGATGCGGTGTGTAAACATCGCCACTAGGTAGACAAAGGCGGTTGGGCGTGGTGCTGGCCACCCATCCCCTCGTGTACCGTTCCGGCCTTCATAGGTGCTCGCTAACAGCACTTGCCCCTACAGTCTGTCCAGGCTATTTGGGGGATCTCTTGTGTGTCGTTGTGTGGGTCTTTGTGTGTGTGTCTGTGTAGTGTTTGTTTGTCTGTGTGACTGTGTATCTATGTGTGTGTGTGCGTACCGATGTCTGTGTGTGTGTCTATGTGTGTGCGCGTGTGTGTCGACGACGATGACGTCACTGGCGGGGGGGGCGAGCGCAGCTGGGACGAGCACGGCCGTGACGTTGCCGGCCACGTTGTCGGTGACGTCACCGGCGACGACGTCACTGCGCGGGGGGACGTCACCGGCGATGACGTCACTGCGGGGGGGGGGGCGTCACTGGCGATGACGTCACTGCGTGGGGGCGGGGCGTCACCGGCGATGACGTCACTGCGGGGGCGGGGCATCACCGGCGATGACGTCACTGCGGGGGCGGGGCATCACCGGCGATGACGTCACTGCGGGGGCGGGGCGTCACCGGCGATGACGTCACTGCGGGGGCGAGTGCAGCTGGACCAGCACGGCCGTGACGTTGTCGGCGCTCCCCCGGCGCACCGCCTCGGTGGTCACGCGGACGCACGAACTCGCCCAGCGCTCGGCACGCGCAGACGAGGACGACGAGGACGACGAGGAGGACCCCTCGGGAACCTGAGACAACACAGAGACACAGACACACAGAGACACAGAAAGATAAAGAGACAAAAGATCCTCCGTGTAGCCTGTAACCAGACTGTAGGGGACAAGTGCTGTTAGCGAGTAGCAGCACTATGAAAGCCGGCACTGTGGCACACGAGGGGGTGGGTGGCCAAGCACCACGCCCGGCCGCCTTTGTCTCCCCAGTGCTAGCGATGTTTACTACACACTGCTGCTATACCAGGTAGTCATTTTAGGCCGAGTCGACCTAGGGGATGCCCAGCACCGGTTCAAGTAACTGTCACTGCTGGTGGCCGTGAGAAAAACTGCTGAAGTAGGTTTTTTTTCTTGCTGTGGTTGTCCCACTTGATGACGATCGCTTGTGTTGCGATCGAAACATCGTGAACTGTTATTTTCCTACCTACGTGACTTTACCGAAAGAACCAAAGAATATGGATTCCTGCAGTCACGAAAGCTTCAAATCAAGATAGAGTGAGATGTGTTTGCACCTCCAGGCTCTTGTTGATGAAGGAGACCGCCTCGTCAGCGGTGAACGCCTTGAAGAGACCATCACACGCCAGCAGAAGGAACCTGGGACACACACACAGACACACAGACACACACATACACAGACACAGTTACACACAGACACATACAAAGACACACAGACACACACAGACACACACACAGAAAGACACAGACACACACACAGAAAGACACAGACACACACAGACACACAAAGACACACAGACACACACAGAAAGACACAGACACACACACAGAAAGACACACACAGACACACACAGACACACAAAGACACACACACAAACAGACACACAGACACACACACAGAAAGACACACACAAACAGACACACACAGACACAGTTACACACAGACACACACACAGAAAGACACACACAGAAAGACACACACACACAGACACACACACAGAAAGACACACAGACACACAAAGACACACACAGAAAGACACACAGACACACACAGACACACAGACACACAAAGACACAGACACGTCTGATCAGCACGACTGGACCACGTACGGCACAATAATCAGTTCAACGTACGCACACAAATAAAAACTGCGGTTCCAGTACGCGTATGTGCTGTGTGTCTCTGGGTATCTGTATGTGTGCTGTGTGTGCTGTGTGTCTCTGCGAGTCTGCGTGTGCTGTGTGTCTCTGCGTGTCTGCGCGTGCTGTGTGTCTGTGAGTGTCTGCGCGTGCTGTGTCTCTGCATGTCTGTGCATGCTGTGTGTCTCTGCGTGTCTCTGTGTGTCTGCGCATGCTGCGTGTCTGCGCATGCTGCGTGTCTCTGCGTGTCTGCGTGTGCTGTGTGTCTCTGCATGTCTGTGCGTGCTGTGTGTCTCTGCGTGTCTCTGTGTCTCTGAGTGTATGCGCGTGCTGCGTGTCTGCGCATGCTGCGTGTCTCTACGTGTCTGTGCGTGCTGTGTGTCTCTGCGTGTCTCTGAGTGTATGCACGTGCTGCGTGTCTGCGCATGCTGCATGTCTCTGCGTGCTGTGTGTCTCCGCGTGTCTGTGCGTGCTGTGTGTCTCTGCGAGTCTGCGAGTGCTGCGTGTCTCCGCGTGTCTCTGCGTGTGCTGCACCTGTCGTTGGCCGTGAGCTGGCATCGCCTGATGTCGGGCGTCGAGATGACACCGCACCGCTTGTACTGCCCGTCGCCGATCGACCGAGACACCTCGAGCACGCCCAGCACTCGACCGTCCCTGCGTTCACCGCCGTTGGCAAGGACACGCGCACAGTACGCAACGCTCGCCCCACTCCACAACCTCAACATAGAGGGCAGCAGCGGTGGCCTGGGAGATGTTGACTCCCTCGCTTGGTACGCGGGAGGTTCGTGGGTTCGATCCCGGACCCTGGCGATGCCTTGCTGCTGTATATGAGGAGTTTGCATACACAACGACAACAATGACCGCCATTCGCCACTAAGTGGCGGTGACGTCACCACAACGCTTGTGCCAGGCCATGTGCACCTTGAGGCCACGTGAAATGTTGAACGCCCGCTGGCAGGAGGTCACGGGGCAGACCCAGGTGCCACGGATCGACTGAGATGACTGGCTGGTGCATCACCTGTGCCCCCTACTGTGCCAACCTGCTATGCCAACTTGCTGTGCTTTAGCCACCCGGTGCTCCGCTCGTTCCCTGTTGATTGGTAGTCTTCTGCCACGAGTAGAGGATTATCCACCCCTCATAGTGGCAGGAGCCAGAGCCGGTCCACTGGACCTCCTGTATGCCACAGAGATCCAGGCGGTACCAGTCCAGCTCCCGACAGAGGAGTGGCAGCCTCTCCTCTGTAGTGAGCGTTCAAACATTCCACGTGGCCACACTCAGTGGCTTTTTGTTGTTTCTGTAGGAGCCCCGAGGGTAGAGATTCAATCTCCTTGCTCCGCCAAATGAGGTTTGGCCAGGAGACGTCATAGACGCATGTCCCCCAGGGGCCTCCGGCACAATCTTATTAATTTGATATTTTAGATGTGGTTTTGTGGTAATTAATTGAAGGTGGAGGGGTTACCAGCCCCTCGCACCCCATTTGGCCACTGTGGTGGTTACCAACGCCATGAGGGGAAAGGCCATCTCAGTTGGCCCTCCCCCCACAATATTGCCCACCACACCGTTGCCATCCGGCACCACCAGGAGGTAGGGGGTTGGTTGTTTTTGCCGTACTACACACACATACACACACACACGTACACACAAATACACACACGTACACACGTACACACATGTACACACAACAACCGCCATTCGCCACTAAGTGGCGGTGACGTCACCACGACGCTTGTGCCAGGCCATGTGCACCTTGAGGCCACGTGAAGTGTCGAACGCCCGCAGGCAGGAGGTCACGGGGCAGACCCAAGTGCAACGAGTCGACTGACTGAGATGACTGGCTGGTGCACCACCTGTGCCCCCTACTGTGCCAACTTGCTGTGCTTTAGACAGCCGGCGCTCCGCTCGTTGTTGTGAGCGTCGCTCCTCCACCATCCGTTGTTGTTGGAGGGCGACTGCCTCCAACTGCCCAATAGAGTCCTTCACGAGCCTCCTCCAGAGGCCGATCTTGACACCACTGGTACCAGTCATCGGCAAGTCCACTCAGCTCCACGTCCTCCTGTACTACATCACTCTGTCTCTTCTCTAGCCCGTGCCGCGCCCGTTTAGCCCCTTCGATCCGGCCGAACAAAAGCTGTTTCGGCATGCGGTGGCTGGGCATGCAGGCTTGCCTGCCAGAGGAACTCACCGATGGGACCTTGCCCAGATCTTTCAAGGATTTGTGAGCTCCTCACACAATCCAGCCTAATTAAATGCAGGATGGATCGTAGGCAGGCTAGCCTAAATGTTTCTAACCGGCGAAGATGTTCCATTAGGGGGGTCCACGTTTCGCAAGCGTAGAGAAGGGAGGGAATGACCGTGGCCGAGAAGACCTGAAGCTTATTGCGGAGCGACAGACCAGATAGCTTCCACACAGCGTTAGGCAACCGATGAAAAGATATTGCCGCTCGACTGATTCGGAGTACACACACACACACACACGTACACACACACACGTACACACACGTACACACACATGCGCAAACACGTACGTCACCGGAGGTCAAGATTGAAACCACCCCCACCAACACCACCCCCACCACCACTCCCGCCACCACCACCCCCTTCACCACCAACACCCCCGCGACCCCCACCCCCACCACCACCACCACCCCCCCCACCACCACCACGTGAAGCTCCTCTGCCCAGGCCATACCTTACCGTGGCGCCGGCGCGCTGGAGCCGCATGCGCTCCTCGTACTGCACCGCGCTGTGCTCGCGGCTCAGCGGCACGGCAAGCACGGCCTGGGAGCCCGGCAACGCCGCGGCGCGGCACAGCACGGCCTGGGGGGGGGGCGCCGCACACACACAGACACACAGACACACACAGACACACAGACACACACACACAGACACACACACAGACAGAGACAGACACACGTAGACACACAGAGACACACATACATACATAGAAACACATAGACACACACATAGACACAAAGACACACATAAATAGAAAGACATAGACACACACATAGACACAAAGACACACACACATACATAGAAACACATAGACACACACACACACAGACACACAGACACAGACAGACACACGTAGACACACAGACACACAGAGACACACACAGACATACATAGAAACACATAGACACACACATAGACACACAGACACACACACAAAGACACACAGACACACACACAGACAGACACACACACACACGTAGACACACAGAGACACACACACACACACATACATAGAAACACATAGACACACACATAGACACATAGACACACATAGACACACACAAACACACATAGACACACACAGACACACACAAAGACACACATATAGAAACACAGACACACACACACAGACAGACACACACACAGACACAGACAGACACACGTAGACACACAGACACACAGAGACACACAAAGACATACATAGAAACACACAGACACACATAGACCCACAGACACACACACATAGACACACAGACACACACACAGACACACACACAGACAGACACACGTAGACACACAGACACACAGAGACACACACAGACATACATAGAAACACATAGACACACACATAGACACACAGACACACACACATAGACACACACACATAGACACACACAGACACACATAGACACACACAACACACACACAAAGACACACACATATAGAAACACATAGACACACACACACGGACAGACACACACACAGACACACAGACGGAAACACATAGACACACAGACACAGACAGACACACATAGACACACAGACACAGACAGACACACATAGACACACACACATACATAGAAACACATAGACACACACATAGACACACAGACACCCATAGACACACACACACACACATAGAAACACAGACACATAAACACACAGACACACACAGACACATAGACACACACACAGACACACATAGACACACACACAAACACACACAAAGACACACACACAGACACACAGACACACACACAGACACACATATAGACAGACAGACACACATAGACACACACAGACACACACACAGACAGACACACACAGACACATAGACACACACACAGACACACATAGACACACAGACACACACAGACACATAGACACACACACAGACACACACACACAGACAACAACAACAACCGCCATTCGCCACTAAGTGGCGGTGACGTCACCACGACGCTTGTGCCAGGCTATGTGCACCCTGAGGCCACGTGAAGTGTCGAACGCCCGCTGGCAGGAGGTCACGGGGCAGACCCAGGTGCCACGGGTCGACTGACTGAGATGACTGGCTGATGCACCACCTGTGCCCCCTACTGTGCCAACCTGCTGTGCTTTAGCCACCCGGCGCTCCGCTCGCTGTTGTGAGCGTCGCTCCTCCGCCCTCCGTTGTTGTTGGAGGGCGACTGCCTCCAACTGCCCAGTAGCATCCTTCACGAGCCTCCTCCACAGAGGCCGATCTTGACACCGCTGGTACCAGTCATCGGCAAGTCCACTCAGCTCCACGTCCTCCTGTACCACATCACTCCATCTCTTCTCTAGCCCGTGCCGCGCCCGCTTAGCCCCCTCAATCCGGCCAAACAAAAGCTGTTTCGGCATGCGGTGGCTGGGCATGCGGGCTACATGACCCAGCCATCGCAGCCTTGCCTGCCGGAGGAGCTCACCGATGGGACCCTGCCCAGATCTTTCAAGGATTTGTGAGCTGCTCACACAATCCAGTCTGGTTAAACCCAGGATGGATCGTAGGCAGGCCAGCCTAAATGTTTCTAACCGGCGAAGATGTTCCATTAGGGGGGTCCACGTTTCGCAAGCGTAGAGAAGGGAGGGAATGACCGTGGCCGAGAAGACCTGAAGCTTAGTGCGGAGCGACAGACCAGGTAGCTTCCACACAGCGTTACGCAACCGATGAAAAGATATTGCCGCTCGACTGATTCGGAGTGAGACCTCTGCTGTTAAACTGGAGCCAGTCATAAGCACACTGCCCAGGTATGGGAAACTCTCCACTTTCTCCACAACTGCCCCATCACCGATTGGGAGTTGTGGGGGTGGAGTGTCCGATGGTACAAAATACCCAGGCAGGTGCTTAGTTTTGGTGGGGCTGATGGTAAGGCCCCACCTCTTAGTGGCACGCTCCAGTCTCAGCAGCAGCGCCTCCAACTCCTCCTCTGACTGAGCAGCTATTACCAAATCATCAGCATACATAACGTGGTTGAGCAATAGGGAGCCATCCCTTGACCGCACCCGGGCATCGATTAGCCTCCCATTATATCTGTACCATATGGAGATTCCCCCGGTACAGCTATTGAAGGCTTCACGAACTACGTGGTCAAAATAGATGTTAAATAATGTGGGAGCCAGAGGACATCCCTGTCGCACCCCAAGGTGTACAGGGAATGGCTCTGACTCCCGGCCACGTAGTTTTACCCGGGCCCCGCTCACCATCATGAAGGTCCTTAATGATCGTGAGCAGAGGGTCAGGTACTCCAAAAGCACGAAGAACGACCCAGAGCCCAGGCCTACTGATGGTATCATAGGCCTTGACCAGGTCAATAAAGCAGAGATGTAGGTCTTGTTGGAATTCCCTACACCTCTGCTGTAGCAGACGGACAGAAAATATGGCATCTGTGCAGGACCGCCCTTTCCTGAAACCGCATTGGGGCTCCGCAAGCCTCTCCTCAGCGTGCCTGGCAAGGCGATGTTGAATAATCCTTGCCAGGACCTTTCCCGGCACACTGAGGAGTGAGATGCCCCTGTAGTTGTTACAGTCTGTGCGGTCCCCCTTCTTAAAAAGGGGGACCACCAGGGCATCCTTCCAATCCTGCGGAACCCGTCCAGTGGTCCAGACTGTTGTTATGATGTCATATAGGGCAGTCTGTGCACAAACGCCACCCTCCCTCAGCATTTCGCTTGGGAGATCATCTCTGCCCGCTGCCTTTCCTGGTCTCAGACTCCGGATCGCCTTCAATACTTCCTCAGCAGATGGCACCTCAGCCAGCCACTCACAGGGGGTGACTTCATCCAATATTTGAGGCACCGCAGCCTCAGCAGGGTCATCCTCACTTTGTGCCACGATGTTTTCCTGGCTGAGGGATTTTCCCTCCCCCAGGACCTCACAGAAATGCTCAGCAAATCTGCGAACCTGTTCCTGGGGGTCGGAAATTGGATCACCGTTTTTTCCCCTAATGATGGTAATAGGTGTGGCGCTGCAGGTTACTTTTTTGATGGAGTTAAATAGAGATTTGTGATTACGGGCCACTGAGGCAGACTCCATCTCCTCAGCAACCCGCGACCACCACCCATCCTTGCAGCGCCTCACGGCTCTCCAAACCTCCGAGCGAAGGCTGCGGTAAGCCTCCTCATTCTCTGACGTGGGATTCTGTAGCCGATGACAGTGGGCCTGTTGCTTTTTCTCAACCATCCTGAACAACTCCTCTGTCAGCCAGGGTGTCTGGGGAGGTCTGGACCGCGTACCCAAAGCAGCCATTGCAGCTGCATGAGTCACAGTCCTAAACCTCGCCCATTTACCCTCGACATCAGGAGGAGTCGGGGACGATGCCAATCCCAGCCGCAAGCGATGATGAAATTCTCGCTTGCAACTTTCATCAGATAACTGAGACCAGGCCACTTTAGGTTGGAATGGGGTCCTGGGTGTACACCCACCACCGGAGTGGAAGAATGGCAGGCGCATCTTACAGATGACTAGTCGATGGTCAGAGGGCAGATCAGCTCCACGGTAGGTCCTGGTGTCAAGGACATGGGCTCGCATTCGCTGGTCCGTCACTATGTAGTCCAGCAGATGTTCTTGCTTGGACCCGGCATGCATCCATGATGTTGTGTGGATGCGCCGATGCCGGAACAGCGTGTTGGTAATTACAAGCCCATGGGCTGCACAAAAATCTAGCAGCCTCCTACCGTTGTTATTGAGCTGATCTGGCCCATGCCCTCCAATCACTCCAGACCAGGTGCCAGTATCATGACCAACTCGGGCATTGAAGTCACCCAACATGATGACTCTATCCCGAGGGGCCACTTTAGCCAGCACCTGTGACAGGAGGTCATAGAAGGCATCTGACTCATCGGCTTTGCCTGCATCCCTCCACGGATGTTCATCTTCGGTGGGGGCATAAGTAACCACGACCACCATTCCTCGCCTCCGGTTGATGGGAAGGCGAGCCCAAAGTAGCCTGGGGCTTACAGCTTCCCACACCTCACCGCCACGCTCCCACGCCCCCTTCATTCTTTTGTTCAAAAGAAGACCCACACCCTGTTGTTTGGCAGTCTGCTGCCCCGAGTAGAGGACTGTCCACCCCTCATGGTGGCAGGAGCCAGAGCCGGTCCACCGGACCTCCTGAATGCCGCATAGATCCAGGCGGTACCGGTCCAGCTCCCGACAGAGGAGTGGCAGCCTCTCCTCTGCAGTGAGCGTTCGAACATTCCACGTGGCCACCCGTAGTGGCTTTTCGTTGTTTCTGGAGTAGCCCCGAGGGTAGGTATTCAATCTCCTGGCTCCGCCAATTGGGGTTTGGCCAGGAGACGTCATAGACGCCTGGCCCCCCGGGGCCTCCGGCACAAGCTTAGTTGTTACATATTTCAGTTTAATTCGTGGTTTCGTGGTAATTAATTGAAGGTGAAGGGGTTACCAGCCCCTCGCACCCGTCCAGAGCCCCCGTTTAGCCCCTGTGGTGGACACATGCCATGAGGGGAGGAGCCAATCAAAATTGGATCTCCCCCCACAGCGCTGTCCACGACAGAGTTGCCCGTCCGGCACCGCGAGGAGGTAGGGGGTTGTTTTGCCGGACTAC